GAATTCCTATTTCCATCATTGTACTGCACTTGGACTTAACCACAGGGCTTCATATTCAATTACAGGCTCCTTATTAGATTACAAAAGCTAAAATCTTTCAATTTTGCCTCCAGCCAGACTTGAACCGTTGACCTTGACTGTGAAGGGTATGGGAGCTTAACCGCTAAGCTATGGGACCCACACTCTTGATATTAAAATTTGAATATATAGATTATTATTAATAAAAATTAGACAGTTTAATATTTTAAAAAAATTAATGGTTTACCTTTTATAGCTCTTATTTGACTAATTTTAAAACTAATTTAATTATTTAATAACCAAAAATGCTTAAATATTAAGCTTTTTTAAAAATATTAAATAATTAAATAGCTTTTAAATTTATTAGAATATAAGCTGTAAAAAATAAAATAATAAGTTTTTTTAAAATATTAATTTACCTAATTTTTATTAATAATAACTCATATTTGAATATTTGATTTATTAATAATATTTAAATAATTATTTAAATATTTATTAGTAAATAAATATTTGAATAAATTTAAATATAAATATTACTATTAAGAATTTTAAATAAAATAAATATACTTTAGTAATAAGTATTAAAAAAATTTAACTACTTATGTCTGCAAAATTTGCTTATAAATATATATATATATTTTTTTTTTATAGTTAAAGTTCCTATCTTGAGAATGCGATATTTTATTCAAGTTTTGTTAGGAAATGGGTGCCTCCAAGGGCTCTCTTATATTGGAGGTTACAACTAGCCATACATGCACTTTTGGTGCCTAATTTAAGTAGTCTACTTACATATTGTTATATAAGTTCTACACTAGTTGCCATATCTGCAAGCCAATTAGAAGTCTTGCTTATTTAAACCTTCTGCATATGCAATCCTTTTTGTATCACAAAAACATTTCAAGGCTACACCTATTCAAGTTCCTGATGCTTATCATTACTCTTGGACTACTTTATCCTTGATAGAAAACTTACTAGAACCTTTATATCCCACACATATAGACCTAGTTTTATGCAACACGCTATAGTTACCTAACACTTGCAGTTACAGAAGTTACTTGTTTAACTGCTACATTACACTATTTCTACTCTTGTAAAGTTCACTAGAACCCTAGCACCTATCTTTCTGGCATCTTCTTTATCATCTCCTACTAGTCACAACTTGGAACTGTTGGTCTCATTCCAAACTACCAATCCAGATGGCCTGGTATAGTATACTTATATATTCTTTTCCTTTGGCAAATCCAGCAGCCTGGTTGGTTATATGCTTCTTTAAACATATTTGATGTCTAGTTTTAATCTTTGATTCCTATGAAGGTGTTTCATAGGCTTCAACCAGTCTGATGGTACTATCGAAGGTTCATACTATCTCTTTACTTAGGAATTTTCAAGTAGGTTTTTATCACCTCAGTTTTTTAGTCTTCTACACCCAATAGTCTTATTATGAGTTTGCACCAAAGTCTTATGCAACACCAGTTATCATTCCTCTATATACATGTAATGTTATACTTCGCATAGATGCCTGAGCTCCCAAAGTCTGAAAACCTGACCTGGTGTATCTAAATAACAGCTATATAAGGCCAACCGATTGATAGGAGACAATTACTATAATGCAGATATAATTTCCAAATTTCTTCATAGGTGGAATTCAAACCTTAGATCTGCCACTTGGAGGATGACAATCTAACCACTATACTAGGATTGCCATCCTTTATAAATGTTTTTTTATTCTAATTATATCAGTATTATTAAATACTTTTTTCTTTTGTAAGTCTTGCTATTATTAAAAAATAATCTAACTTTAATCTTAAATTTGTTAAATTAATTTTTTCTTTAATTAATTTTAAATCTTTAAACTATTTTATAAGGTAATAAAAATTTTTATATTTAATGTTTTTAAATAATTAAATTTAGCAATATAATAGTTATTAAATTAGATAGATAGTTGAGTCAGATAGCTAATATATTAAACATCTAAAATTTTCTTTTTTTTAATATTAAAATAAGTACTTGTAATTTAAAATTTTATTAATAATATGTTTTAACTAATAGCTATTGTATAATAATTACAAAAACAACTATAAAAAGAATATATAACTAGTTACTTATACAACTTTAGCTATTATCCAATTTAAGTAGTCTACTTGAAGGTTTTATACTAGTTGTTATATCTAAAACCTATCTGTAGCTTCTTTATTGAAATACTTTAAATTTTATATTCATATTATATTATCAATAATACTAATAAACTAGTAAAGATATATTATAATCACTAAATTATATTTAACTTTGTACTAAACCTGTTAGAGCCATCTGTATTACATATTTATAACTAACTTATTAGTAATTTGGTCTAAGCTAATACTTGCAATTTGAACTATTAAACTATTATACTTTTTTAAGATTTATTTAAATCTTAGTATTCATTTTTTTGATATTTTTATCATTAATTTTTACTAATTATAATACAGAACTAACAAAACTCTTTAGACTTTTAATTCAGATAGTTCAATATAATATATCTATGTATTCCTTTCCTTTAGTAATTCTGATAGTCTAGTTAATATAAATGTTTTTTCATATATCTATTATTCGATTTATTTATTTATTTTTATTAAAGATGTTTTATGATCTTTCATTAGTTCAACAGTACTATTAGAAGTTTATACTACTTCTTATTTAGGATTTCTAAATGAGTTTCTGACTTTTCAATTTCTTTATTTTCTATATCCAATAATCTTATTATAAGTTTGTACCAAAATTTTATATAATACTGATTATATATTTTTTTATATACATATGTGTAATATTACATTTTGTATAGTTGCTCTGAGTTCCCATTTAAGATGATGTAACTAAAGGTTACAGATACACCAATCCAACTAATTGGTAGAGAAAATTATTATAACATAGGTATAATTTCCAATATTTATTATCTGTAGGATTAGAACTTCAGACCTGCCACTTGAAGGATAACAACCTGTTCACTTCACTATATCACCACACTTCTTACAATCAAAAATTCAATGCACTTATAATTCTAAAAAAATACCAAAATTAAACCACAGATACAGTTAAATCCCTATATTTTAATAATTCCGTGCATAGTAATTAGATAATCTACCAGCATTATATTGCTTCGCCGGCATTATAAAAATCATGTGCATAATTCTATAATTTCATGCGCATTGCCCATCACTAGTTACACCTCTTTATAATTACGGTGTGACTATAAAGAGGGTTGATTGAAACATATAAATTAATAAAAAATATATCATTAAAATTTGAACCAACTAATGTATTTGTATTAAGGATGAGAAGAAACTTACTGAACAATAAACAAATATAAGAAACTATCTGAAGATTTAAATAAGCATTAGAATCGTGTATTGTACAATTTTTTTAAAACAAATAGTTAAATACTTATAGTTTAAATAAGCTGCAATAACATTTCTGGGCTGAAATAGAATAAAAATATGTTCTACGTACGTAGTTGGTGCAATAAATAAAAATGCGCCTATTTAGTAAATTATAATATGTCTTCTACCCATATGATTATATGATAATAATACTTTTATATTGTGAGCCCGATTTTCGGGGTCACAGGTGACCGAATCGAAGCGACGATCCTGACCCGATCCGAGGTCACACGAAAGTGACCGAAATGTCACTTATGTTACGTCGTTTCTGTGACTTCGCCTACATATGAGTTAAACGAAATATTAGCGTTTTATTAGATTTAGTTAGGATATAGAGTATAAGAAAATATATTGTGTTTATGAGAGAAATTAACTGCAAATGTAAACCAAACGTTTATTATAAATAAAGGGCATTTTTGCCTTGGGAAACAATCATTCCCACATTCCTAATAAAATTGAAAGTCTACACTATACAAACTAATAAACCATCGTTAAATCCCGTTGTTACCCCTATCGTTAATTCAAATAAACCACTAAACTCGCCATTGATCGCTCGCCACGGGTCACGTGACCGAACCGTTAACGTAATAGAGGAAGTTCCAACCCCGATTCGACGTAGTGTAATCCCGGGTTGAGGAAGACAAAGAGGCATACAAGGGAAGACAAAGGTTAATAGAAGAATCGGTTGAAGGAAAAGACTTAAGAAGGAAGACTAGTACTTACCTACGGATAAACCACCAGCCAAATCTAACACGCCTATTTCGACTTAGCCGCCGTAGGTTACGCGAGAGTTGAATTAATTTAACGACAGACTCGCCGATTCCGGAATCACAATATCGATATTTATAAGCAAAATGTATAATATAGCATATTTCGAATTCTGACCCGTTGATCCGGGTTAGAGCAATTTTTGACCAGTGGCCCGGGTAACATCTCTAAGCGGTTGTTTTGTTTCCGTTCATGATGTGATTGGCCAATTGCGACCGTCACCGTTGGCGACAAGATTTTTCATAAAACACTAATCAATTATCTTACAAAAAAAAAAATTATTTATTGATTTACAAATTCGTACTATATATAAATTATAAAATAGCTTTGGGTTGGAAATAGGTAGGGTTTATGCTAAAATATGCTAGGAAAATTTTTTGCTAAAACCCGAAAATTGGTTTATAATCAGTACATACAAATAGAAATTTCCTATAAAAAAATATGACATACAAAAATATTATACTATATAATAGATTACAAACGAATCAGAAAAATATATTTGCTACACATAATAGCTCTGCGGCTAGCCTAATAATATTTAATTTTAGGCTTAAATTATGATTCCGTTCATGTTATTGCTGCAAATAAGTTCATATAAAATTTTATACCACGAATAAATTTGGTATTTTTTAGAAAGACAAAACAATGCAGTGATTATTTATCGCTAGAGACGATACTTTTGATTTCAGTTTCCTTAGAATGCGTGTTCTTTTTTCTTGCAAATACTTGTTTGTGTCTTAATACTACACTGCTATTTTTAGCGTTTAGTTCACTTTCAACATTATTCATCAATGTATCAAATTCTTCAAATGAAATATCCATAAAAGGTGCCATATAATCTTTCGCACTCCTGAAATAAAATAAATAAACATCAAGACTAAACTCCCCAAAAGAATTGTCGCTTCTGATCGGAATGTTTACTATATTACGCGATATGGATTCGGCTTTCCCGGACTCTTGAAGGACATTTTCAAAGGTTACCATTAAATTATGATCAATATTATGGTTCATGAGCCATGAATACCCTAAATGATTACAAATAAGTTAAAAATATTTTAGGTATTGTGAGTCCCCCTAAATGCAACTCCCTTAAATGCAGCACTCACTTATATTGTTGAAAGTTCATTTCTATGAACTGCATTTAAAAGGGGCTCACTGTTATATATTGTTAAAATAGATGCATAATGAACATACATGCGGTATTTATTCGTGTAAATGCAGGCCCATAGACAAGGTCATGGTTATATGCGTATACAACCTAATATAAATAAAGGCTAAACCCGTAAATATAAATATAATAAAATTAAAATAAGCACATTTTCTCACCTCTAACCAACCTCCAGGCTTTAATACTCTAAAGATCTCTGATAAATTTTCTTGAAAATCATTTTTTGCAAATATTGAATATTTATCTCTACTAAAAACATAATCAAATTCACTATCGGGGAATGGTAGCTTTTTAAAAACACTCCATTCTATGAATGTAACATTTTCACAAGAGTCTGAAGATGGTACGCTAGCGTCAATCGCATAAATTTGTGTATCTGGATATTCAGAAGCAACCTAATACAATTCTAAAATTTAATCACTCAAAAATAAAGTTACTAACATTCACAAAATGGTAGTGTGCTAAATACCTCTGTGACCCAAATTCCACTTTCAACACTTTTTTTGCGAAAATTTAGATTAACAAGTTTTCATAAAACATATATCATCAAACAACAAGAGTATAATTTACCCAATTACTAGTATTTGGCCACCGTTTTGTAACTTTTCATGAACCGGAGCGCCTACATTTCCATTAAACACATGTTCATAGATACTGTGCATGTAAAATGTAGTGTTGCATAAATTTGCTTTATCTTTGAGAGGATAGTGGAAGTCACCAGTAAATGTAAACTCGTGTTCTTCGATTTGTGAATGATGACTCATTGTGATGAATTTTTTATTTAACAAAATCTGAAAGTACATAGCATTTTTATTAATTTTTTTTTGGCGCGTTTGCAGGATAAAACATTCTGATGTTCTAAAAATAAAGCCATAAATAATTCATACTAGAATATAATTCAATCGGTGTTCTAGCTAAAATTGTAATTAAAGATCAATCTACAAATAACCTATTCCTGATTTGTATTCTTATTTGAGTGCCACCGAGAGAAAACCCGCCAATAAGATCTTGAGGCATTCATTTGTAGTTCATTTTAAAGCCACACGATGTGCATTATGTAATGATGACATGATATATTTGCATATAGAGTTAGATTCAAAGTGGACGCCACGTATAAATGCGTACGTATACGTATCAAATTTCTCTTTGTTCCAAGAAATAGGAGTTATGTTACATCTAATTGTGGTTCGTTATTGGCTAACTTGACGTTAATCTTCAAATACATATTGTATTTGCATTTTGAAAATTTCACTTATTTGAAAATTGTATATTTAATTCAAAATAATCATGACATGTGTGTCTTAAAATAACACGCTTTTACCACATTTGAACCTAATTGGATTGGCATATAATCAACAATCCGTATCTTTATTACTCCCTAAATGGACAGATTTTTGAGAGCTCGCATTTGTAAAACAATAAGAAAAATTGCATTTACGGGAGTTTAGCAAAGATCTGACTGTACATCGGATTTATTATGTTCGGTATTAAAAATTATGTCAAAATACCGCACAAGAATAATGCACAGTAACTTAAAATAACACGCAAATACATATTACATGAATGAATCTTTCCTTAAAACATAATGTAATCCTTATTTTATTTTTGTTTAAGATCAACAAATATTATCGTATGCAAAATATGGTTTTTTTTTTAAAAAAAAAAGATTCCACCACATCGGTATCATTTATTACACAAAACTTCATTACCGTATTTTCATATAATAAAATTTTAAAATACGCCCATTGTTCGTGGAATATGTTTTTAAAGACATTCACATCTGCAACATTCATATCTAAAAGATATTCGCACAATTCGATTTTCATTTAGTGTGATGGGATGATTTTTGTAATATAATTTACATAACACAATCAGAATCAAAAAAGTAGGGTCCGTACATTTATCTCTGCTCGCATATTGATGTAACTTTGATCAAATTGGTAGACCCGTGCAACTGCTTGATTGTTGTCCGATTTCGTGATTGTAAAGGGTGATTTTTAGCCAAAGATTCAGTATAAATATATTATTTTCATAAAATTGTTGACATATCTATGCTCACTAAAAAAATAATTCAACCGAACAGCAATCAAGTAATTGTTCAAGTGATTGTAAGTCACATTATGGTATACATATATAAAACTTATTATGTAAGGGTTTTTTTTTTAATAATTTCAGAAAAATTAACTTTGCGAATGGTTATCATTATTGAGCAAATTATTTTACAGCTGTTCTCATAAATTCTGGGACAACTGATAAAAATTGATCGTCCGAATTCGATAAGTTTTTATAAATTCGGTGCTATCGGATTACTGTAATGCCGAAAATCTAATTTCACAGAATTCAAAAAATTATCGATCAAACTTTTATCATTTGCCCCAAAATTTATGAGAACAGCCGTTTCTGATTATCTGGATAATTCAAATCACTCAGATATCCGGATAATCCGATAGATATCCGATAGATAAATGTATAAACGGATAAACGTATAATGGATAACACTAATTTTAATACAATTTATCAAAGTACATTTTTCAAGATTCTTATATCTTTTTTTTTAATTTGTAGCTTTTATTTCTCTTTTTTAGATAATAATCTCAGTTTATGGAATTTTAATTGATTCATTGTTGTTAAAGTTGAGTAAAGCTTGCCTACTTTATTAAAGAATTAACTACTCATAAATAGAATGAACCGAAAAAATGCCGTTACACGTCGCTCTGATTATATCGACATCTGGATATTACCAACATCTGGCTATAACGATACTTTTTAAAATTTTGAATCTATAACTTAATAAAATTTCTTTATTTTTTTGAGGTGTTGATATAACCAGGGTGATGTGTATTATATTATTATGAGTGAATTAATATGCTCTCACAAAAAACTAACTAGCGATTATTTGTTAGTTCAAAGGAGAAGTGTACCGAAAGTTACTATTATCCGCAGTAAATTCGGATTTTCATAAAATTCTCCAAATAGTAATTTAGTATATGTTACACAACTTATAATTTGATTTATGATCTCTAAAGTCTGCAAACAGCGATATAATGTACTGTATCAAAAAAAAACAAATGTATGAACATCAAACTTGTGGGTTTTGCCGATGTCGGGGTAGCTTTACATGCAGATGACGCTAAGGGAAATCAGACTTCGATTATATAAAATTTCCCTCACACTTTATCAACTTACTACGATGTTTTTTGCACGAAATTACATAATCAATTTTACAAAATATCACGGAAAAAACTCACACGGTCATATATAAACATCGGATAACACCATTATTGGGCATATGATAAATAACCGATAGTTAATTTGACCATGTGAAGTTTCTTCTGCAAAACTTATTACGTAATTTCAATGACAAAAATATTCATTGTCATATGAAATGTCGGATAATGAATATTATCACATGTATGGATCTTCCACCTCCTGCAATTTTGACCAATCAAAATTTAAGATCAGGTGTAACGTAATGTCAAAACAAACTTGGTTTGTTTTCTAATGTGACGGGCTTTATGGTCGAGGGGCAAATGCGACGGATTGTCGCTTGAAAAACGATTATGCCGCGTAACGTTCCTCAAAGATAATAGAGGCGGTTTTTCGATTTGGCACAAGGTCGAGGCGATCGATGAGGAGCGTTATAAGATAAGTATATGGTTTTTAAAAGAGCGTTGATTTATTTTATAAGTTAAAAGGGCTTAATTAACTTTATTATTATTTTGTAGGGGTAATACCAACTATAGGACTGTATTATTATACTATTCTGGGCGGTTCTGAACTCTGAACTTCACTACCTTTTGGGAGGGGAAAATTCCACCCTTTTTATAATGAATTGACCGCGAGAAGAGCACGCACAAGACCACGACTCTTCTCATTGTTCCCATCGTTTCCCACACAGCCTTTCGTTACTTTAGCATTTCTCACGGTCTTCATAAAACCGATAAGAAATGTTTCAGTTTCACTATCCCGGGGCCAGAACCCATCATATTGTCTTCAATCGCACCCCCTCACACCTAACCCAAGTAGGGTAGGTGGAGTCAACGTCCATTCCCAGCGCGAATAGGTTGGTCCAGGTCGACCTTTCTTTGTTTGGAGGGGGTGGTGGGGTCCCGCATGGAGGCTTGTGTACTGTCATATGGCTTTCGTGGGGCCGGGTGCACATGTTTCAAATGGGCACCTCCAATTAGGCAAGTATGCCCATTTCGCAGGTTCTATGGGGTGTCGGTTTTACCTCTGACACTAAGTAAAAAATTACGTGTAAAATTAAATATAAGAAAACCACGTTATAGTTAGGGTTGTGGTTAGAAAAATATGACAGCTATTGGTAGAATTTCACGAGAAACATTTTTAATTAGGTCGCAGAAGATGGTTTTCTAACAAAAATTTAGATCTATTAGTGTATTTTTATGTAACAAAAAAGAGGGTCTGTTTCAATTTTTACGTTACACCCGATCTTAAAATTTGATTGGTTTAAAATTACTGGGAGTGGAAAAAATTTAATGAACAAATTTTGGAAACACAACACTCACGTGATAAATCCAGCCAGTGTTGTCACCTTAACTTTAGCGCTAATTATGGTCATTGTTGTACATATATGAAAATTTTTTAGACAAACAAGATCACATACTTGAATTCAATTCACCAAATTAAAGTACCAATTTCCTGATTGGTTATTATTCTATTTTTAAGGCATTATATCTTCAAGAATTGATTTTTCAAATATAAAACTCTCCATATTAAGTCAATGTACAAAAAAATTATACAGCACTTAAATAAAAATTGGTACTTTAACATGAATTAAAAAATCCAGAAAATGCTAAACGGTGGTTTTCCTAGAAAATATCCCATATGGGCTGGTACGCAACAAAAAAGAGCTTCGGAACAAATTTTTTATTTGGAGGTATCATTTTGTGCAATATTCAATAATTGTTATAAAGTAGAGATTTAACCAAATTCCTGCGGATTTTAACAACACTAAGAAATTAATTTAATTACAACATTACTGAGTAAGCTTTAATACCCTTGCAGTTTCCCGACATTTACTGACAACCATTTTTCCGACAGTCATTATTTTGCTGACCTGCCACAATCACTTCACAGACAAATCCTTTCCTCGAAATAATTATTCCCCGCTTCGCCAATGACCACCTCGGAGTAATTGTTGGAGAAGTATTGTCAAGAAAAATTGTGTCGGGAAATGATTGCCAACAAAATATTTTCGGAGAAATGACTGTCGGGAAAATGGGTGTAGGGAAAATGTCAGGAAACATACACTTGCCCCTCATTAATTCCTCCAATCTAACTATAGGACAAATAAATTGTTTCGATAAAAATACTGTGTACAAAATTGTCAATTATGTTAATACGGATTAAAAAAGCCTACTGTAATTAACTCTTATATTTAAAAACACAATCCCGTAAAAATCACAACTTTGATGAAAATGTCTCTAAGCTCTTTTTTGTTGTGTACTAGCCCAGATGTGTTCGGCGGTCAATTCACCAATTAGTTCAAAAAGGCTCGGATGCTTAGAATGTATAACACTGGTCAAGAGGTACAAAAGCTGTTATACACTCACTAATCAAATCATTTTTTATACGATATAATAAATAAGGTATACAAATATTATCATAAAATAGATTGTAAATGAATAGGAAACTTTTGTTACACGTAATAGTTCTGTGGTTAGCTAACGATATTTAGTTTTAGACTTAAATCCATGATCCCGTTCCGTGAATAAGCACTATCCCAATTTAATTAAATTAATAAACAGTTTTTTATAAAATTTCGAGCCACAAATAAACACGGTATCTTTTAAAAAGTCGGTACTAATTTAGTGTCAGATACGGTACGCGTACTTTCAGCTTTATTCAGAATATACATTCTTCTTTCTTGCTATCTTTAGTAGTATTTAGTTCATTTTCAATATCATTCATCAAGTTATCAAATTCTTCAAACGAAATATCCATAAAAGGAGCCATATAATCTTTCGTATTTCTAAAAAAAATGTGTTCAAGCATAAACTCTTTAAAAGCATCACCTCCTATTCTAGTTTTTACTATTTTATGTGATATAGATTCGGCTTTTCCAGTTTCTTGGAGGTAATTTTCAAGATTTGCCATGATATCATAATCAATGTTATGTGTTTTAAGCCACGATTCCCCTAAATCGTTACGAATAAGTTAAGAAAATATTTAAATTCTGGCTCAAATATATTCGACATGTAAGTACAGTTTTTTTTATTTTTTGTTCTTTATATGTGCGTATATTATTAAAGTTTGTTTCTACGAACTGTATTTAAAGGGATTTCGCTGCATATATGTTTTTAGAATAAATGTACAATATACATACATGCGTTAACAAATCGTGCAAATGCTGGTTCTTGAATACGGTTATCTCTATATGTATACGTAACCTAATATAAATAAATTTCGAACCTATAAATATAAGATTATAAAGTTAAAGTCAACTCATTTTCTCACCTCTAACCAACCTCCCGGCTTTAATACTCTAAAGATCTCTGATAAAACTTTTTGAAATGCTTCTTTTTCCATTGTTACAAATTTATCTCTAGCAAAAATATAATCAAATTCATTATCTGGGAATGACATCTCTTTAAGAGTATCACAATGAATAAATGTGATATTATCGATAGAATTTGGTAGGGTATTTTCAGAATCAATTGCATAAAATTCTGAATTTGGATATTCAGCAGCAACCTAATGTAGTTTTTGGAAATTAATCATCCAAAAATAAAACTTCCAATATTTACAAAATTGTAGTAATATTAATTACCTCTGTAGACCAAATTCCACTCTCGCAACTATTTTTTTTGCAAAAATTAAATTAATAAGTTTTTGTAAAAGTACTATTAAATAGCAAGAATATGAACAAGAATATGATTTACCCAAATTCCAGAACTTTTGCTTCATTTTCTAACTTTTCATGAACCGGTGCACCTACATTGCCATTAAACACATGTTCGTAGATATTGTGCGAATAAAAACTAGAATGGTTTAAGTTGTCTTTTTTGCCAGGAATATAAAAGTCTTCATTTGTACTCTCATGTTTTTCGATTAGTGAAGGATGGCTCATTATAAAAAGTTTTGGATGAATATTTAACATATCTGAAAATACTCATCATTTATTCATAAACTCAGGCATTCATAATTTTAAACAGAATTAACCATACGTGATGGTTCTAAAAAGAGGTCATAATAAAGTGTGACAATGTCGCCTTCATAGTATTACACTATGGAGAAAAAAAAAGTGTGCCATAAATAATTGCTTATTTTGATTATTAAAACATTATTCAGACAGGATATGCTAGCTAAAATTATTGTTAATTTTAAAGTAATACTAATATGTAAATATAGGTTTTACTGAGATGATCAACATTTTCCCAAGCTATGATGAGTCATTTACAGCTGGTTTCAAAAGGTGTGAACAACGATTTCATATACCTATGTGAGAAATCAAATTCTGATTAGTTGTCTGATTAGCACTGGCTTTGAAAATTCTGGAAATCTGGGAAATTTCGTAGATATGGTGATCTGCATCTATTTACACCTTTTTGAAAACGGCTATAATATTAGCCTGTGGGGAAAATGAGTTAGACTCATTATCGGGGGTCAAAATTTTTTTTCAGAGTTTGACATTGATTGATTTAATATAATAACTACTATTCTCAATTTCGAATAATGTACAATACAGAATAAAAGAATAAAAAAGATTATGCATTATTCTGTCCACTTAAAACTAGTTGTTGAACTTGATACAGATCAATAATAAAATTAACAGGCGCAGTTTCAGTTGCAAGAAGAGTAGGAACAGCTGGTACGTACTCAACTGCAGGTGGAAGTGAAAGTACTGGATCCCAAAAGACTTGTGCAATTGGGATAATGACTTGATATTGAGGGAGGTTGGGTGCATTACAGGTAGTAAGAGTTGTTTTTTCGAATAAGGGTTCCAAACTGCCACTAAAGGTATTTAAAAGTTGTTAGATTATTTAACTATTAAAATATAAATTACAGGCTTGCTTCATAACTTTAGAAAATCAAACGACAAATATGTTCATGCATAAAAAATTAAAATACATTTCTGTTCCCTGGAGGAGGGCCTGGATATGAAATACGAGGCTTTTGGACATGACTTGGATTTGGATATACTGTAACATCTGATGCAATTAATTGGTCGTTTCCAGATTGACTAAAATGAACTAAGGAAAGGTATTAATTTCGAAGGACAATTATGGATCAAAAAGTCAAATAAGTTAAAAGAATTACTTACATTCATCAATATCAACGACTATTGGAGGATTAATAATGACACCGCCATTGGCAACCTTAAAATAGTCTTGCAACAACGAAACAACTAAAACATGTTCGGGATTGCTCGTGTCAATTATAAATACGTCACCGTTATCTCTTCGTTGATATTTTTATCCAGAAGACTCTCGACGTTCAAGGAATTTATTGTATTCATTTATCGTTATATTTGAGCCAATTTTATAAAGTAAACTGAAAATTCATACAAGTAAACATTAGCCGATATTGAAGTATTTTAAGTGTTTTACATTTGATGTCCACTTACCTGTCCTCATTTAACAGCTGTTTCAGAAAATGAGGACTGTTTGAAAGTAATTTGCTTAGAACTTTCTTGTTATTTGCAACACACCCACAAGAATTTTCTCACCACGTGATTTTTGGCCAATTAGATCGAAGGATCAGGTGTAACATAAAATCAAAACAATAGAATTGGCTATGGTCACGTGGTGGGAAAATCTTGTGGGTGCACCTGAGAAAATGATCAGCAGAATCACGAGAAAATTGTGAAAAAACCTATTGGTGTATATATGAAAGTTTGCTCGTTCGTTCGTTCACTCATTTACATTAGCCTTAGAGAGTCTGGCTATTCTGTATATGTTTTGTATACTATTTTTAAAGAAAATATTGACTTTTACTAAGAGGAGGTTTTGCGATTACAGTGTGATTACAAGTATTTACTTGTGTGTTAGCTCTGTTAGAAGAATGTTTGCAAATGAAATAATATATTTTTTTCATAGAAATGGTTCAGAGTCTTAGCTAAACATTGCAAACTCTGATTAAGTCTAGTACAGTTCCACATTTATATCAGCGATCTGTGATATTACATAATTGCTAAAGGCAGACACAAACGTGGCTATGCATATTTCACGAACTTCTATGCTAATTTCTGGTTTACTGATTTAAAACACATCGCTCCCCTGAAGCTCATATAACATGAGATTTCACGATTATAATTATTTTCAGATTGAATTTTTATTTATTTGCTATTTCACTTAATTTTATTTTTTTTTTTTTGATGTTAAGGTGAGGCCTTGCTCATATCTTTATTAGTAATTTTAGTTGTACATATTAATATACTATATATTAAGAATATACTAAGATTGTAAAATACAAAATAAAAACTACATGCAAGAATTAAAGCTCAGACGACATTATCTGCGACCTAAACCGATTTCACTTAATTTTATATATTTACATGTTGTCTTCATTTACATATATTTGACTAGTCAAGATTTTTTATTATAACAAATATAATAAGTAGTACTAATATAAATCTAATCAAAGTAAAACATTTCTTTTTTATATAAAATGTTTTTATATAAGAAAAAGTATATAATAGCAATTCAAGAAAAACTTGGTATTAATAGTAATACATTAAGAGTAGAAGGCACAGAGATTATTTTTATATAGTATTAATATATACTACTAATAAAATTTTTTTATTTTTATCCAATTAAAGATATTATTGTTTATTAAAATTGCTATTACACTTTATTAAATTTTTGCTTTATCTTAACTAACAAATTTATACTCAAATCTGAATATCATATTGTATTTTTAGATCTCAATTTAATAAACAATTTCAATTAATTTTAACATTTTATACTTCTTAAAACACATTGATTCAATATGCATTACACTTAATTATTAATCTTAAAATTGGAATATAATATTTCAAATACTAAATAAATCTTCTTATTATAATTATAAACTTTGAAATTTAAGTAAATTTGGTTACTTTAGTAGATTTAGATTATAGATAACTTGTCTGAGTTTCTAATATTAATATAATTTTTTTTGCATATTTTAGTTATAAAAAGTTTAACTAAATTTTTAATAAGATAGAGACATGGTCTCATCTTTAATATTTAAAAAAAAATTTTATTTTATAATTAATTAATAAAAATATTTTATAATATTATAAATAAAATTATTTATATATTATAGTAAAATTTTAAACTATTGTATTATTTTAAAAAAATATACTTATATATATGATAAAATTTATTTAGATAAGTTAAAATTTGCTTCAGTAGTACAAAAATAAAAAATTTAATTAGTTAATTTATATAAACTTATAAGTTAATTTTATTATATAATTTTATATTCTAATTTTTAAAAATTTATATCTTAATGAATTTTTAATCAATTTTAATAATTTTATTAATTATTAGAATTGGAAAAACTTACTTTATAACTTTTATTTAATAAATAAAATTATACAATTTTTTTATAAAATTAAATATAAAAAACTTATCATTATAATTTTAAAATGTTGTCTTTTATTCTTAAAATAAATAAAATACAATCTTGATTAAAAAATACTTGCTAATTCATATAAGTTGTTATTATTTTTTTTTTATTTTTTTTAAATATTAACGGTGAGGCCATGCCTTTAACTTTATTGAAATTCAATTGAAGTTTTTACAAAGAAAAGCTTGCTTTTAAATTACATATGAAGAATAAAGACTCAGACATATAATTTGCGACCTAAACCTTATAAGTTGTTATTACATATAGTAGAAGATTTAATATTAATATAGAAAAATCTTGATATTAGAAATAAACACATTTTGGTAATAGATTATAATAATATAGTAAATCAAAATAATATAGGTTTTTTAGATTTATTATCTTTAAAATAATTTATTTATTTTATATTTAAAAAAAGATATAAATATAATTTAGAAAGAACTTAATATTATTACTTATACTAATCAAAAAATGATAAAAAAAGCTGATAAAAATATAAAAATATATTTTTAAAATTTTAAAAATTTTTACAATCTTTTAAAAAATAATCCAGATATATTTAATAAGAAATTTGTTGATAAAAGTTAAAAAAAATTAGTTTACTAATAATAAACTATTATTATTATTATTTTAAATTAAAGTTCTTATTTTTAAAATACAATATTTTTATTTAAGTTTATAGAACATAGGTTGTCTTTAGAAGCTTTCTTATATTAGAGATTACAACTAGACACATGTACATTTTTGGTAACTAATTTAAGTAGTTTGCTTATACATTGCTATATAAGTTTTATACTAAATATTATATCTACAAGCCAGCTAAAAGTCTTATTTATTTAAATATTCTGTATATGCAATTTATCTTGTATTACAGAAACATCTTAGAGCACTGCTTATCCAAGTTCTTGATGCTTATCAGTATCCTTAGAATTACTTTATTCTTAACAGAAGACTTAATAGAGCCTGTTATGTCTTACACAAAGCTAACTTAGTTTTATAAAACATAATATAGTTAACTAACACTTGCAATTATAGGAGTTGCCTATTTATCTACTATATTATAATATTTTTAATCTTATAAAGTTCACTGGAACTTTAGTACCTATTTCTTTACCATTTTCTTTATTATCTTCTACTAGTTGCAACTCAAAACTGACAGTTTATTCAAATTTTAAATCCAGATAGTTTGATGTAATATATCTTAGTATTCTTTTCTTCTAGTAATTCTAGTAACCTGGTTGATAATATGCTCCTTTATCATTTCCATTCAACTCTTTTCGCTGATCTCTAATTTAGGAAAAAACCCAAAAAGTACAAAGCTAAAAATACAACAGAAAGTAGTATAGCAAGCACTTATTATAGTATTAGGAAAAGCTCCTAGTATCAGAAGCCATCATTGCTTTATTAGAATACAAAGGAAAATAAACTTCCTGAACAACAAATACAAAATTTCTTGGTTTTTTTTTAACAAAATTTTAAAACTCTCAAGGTTTTTTGTAATTTTGGGAATTTGTCGTTAGCTTAGGAAAACAGAAAATTGTAACATGTGATTACATAATATAAACAAACAACAACAAACAAACCAAACACATTCCCAATTTGGTAATCACTATTCTAGCTAGAATTTAACAAAACAACCAATAATATTACAACAAATAAGTGCACATGAATTATCTAAACAACCTAATCTAGTAGATCGATGGATAAGATTCAAAAATCAGATATTATAGATTACATCAGGAGGCTGAGTGACAGAAATCGTAGATATATTAACAACAAAACTCTAGATCAAGTTCTAACAATACACACAAAGAGCCCATGCAATATTGAGTATATTGCAAAAGACCTTGCATTAAGTGATCCAGACATATTACACCTGATGACTTATTGCTTTATAGTCAAATTTTAGAAGCCCTTCATCTTGCAGAACTAGGATGATTAGAAGAAGGTATTACAGACGAATGGCTAACTAAGCTCAGAATAATAAATCAGCATCCAGGCTCTATAGAATATATATCAAATATAAATCAAGAAAAAAGTATCCAAGATAAAACGAAAACAAAATAAATATCTAGAATCAAGGAAGTAAAAGAAACAAAACTTTTAACCAGTAAAAAAAGACTGCAAAAAGAAGACGACACAGAGGAAAAGATCAATCAAGGTTCCGCCTCAAGTTTAAGACTAACAAAAGCTGTGCTAGAAGACAACAAAACAAGTATTAAAAAGAGTAAAAAGCTGAAAGAAGATGCTGAAGTACCAGTAAATGACATTCTTTATAATGTCATAAAAAATATTGAAACCATTGACAAAAAAATACAGAATGTGGAAAAAGAAGATAATGATAATGCAGAAACAATATTTCTGGATACAATTGAACATAGTCAATAGTCACCAAAAAACAGAATCTGTGACAAAAAAACTCTTTCAAGGCAAATATGCCAGCCTATACATTGCCAGGAGCTTCAAAAGAAAAAGAGTCAAATATGTTGAGTGGATTGTGGAGAAAACCTACCACATTAAAACAGTAAAAGAAGTTTTCAAAAAAGACAATAACTGGGTTGAGATCGACTTTGATTGCGAATATAGCAGAGATCAAGCAATGGACAGAATTAGAGAAAAAGAAGGTGACTGGCTCAAACTTATCCCAGAAGAGAGCAGTAAACAGAAGAAAATCGCTGAGCAACAATTTAAAGATAACAAAAAAAAGAGAAAAGAATGTACAAAGCCAACAAGCCGAATAGAAGTAATTAAAATAGAAGAACCCAATACAATTAATGATGATTCAAACTAATATAACTATTTCACAATTTGGGATCTGCCAGCAAACATCAACTCAGAAAAAATAAAACATATATGCAAAAACATTAGGAAGGCATAAGTAATTCAGATCAAAAGATCAAAGTTTAAAGCTTTGGCAGTAATTAGAACAGATTGTCTTACAGAGGAGAACATCCCATGGTCATTACCAATTAGAATCCACAAATTAGCAAGGGTAACCAAAGGTAATGAGGACTATAATCAA